CATAGACATAGTAAGTATAGACTGAGCATCCTTTGATAAGCGGTGATGCTTACGATGAGAGAGAGAAAAGATATTATGATGAGTTTCTCTCTCTTTTCAATGTCGGAGAGTGGGAGAACCTGCTGCGCAAGAGCCTGCGCGATATGATTTAAATGCGCAGACGACGCTAATGTAGTATAACAATTAAAAACTCACAATTGGCATTTAATTGCGGACACATTATAACATATACTGAAAGCTGATAAAATGTTTCTTTTAAAAATAACATGGAAATTTTATTTTTTTAGAATATTTCGTAACTGTCGTTTATTATTAATATATAGGAACATAAAACAAATCAAGTCATAATTTGCCGAAATAATAATCATTATTTATTGACCTTGAAAGAGAGTTAGTTTATTATTACGCATTCTTAGCCTATTAACATTATTTTGAAATTGTTCACTTTCGTAATGTAAACGTACTTGTAGAAATGTTTTTAAAATTAACTTAATAACTTGGCGACGATGATCAAATAACGGAGATTGATCTAACATATGAGAATCATCATCGAAAATTTTAGTTGGCATAAAACGAAACATTGACAAATTAAATATTGTACAATATTTTTCTTTGAAAATATAATACTTCTATTATGCCTCAAAACTTTCTCAGCCACTTCACATATATTAACTACGTCGCTTGAAGCTTCAATTAGGCCTTTTCCATTTTGGAGGTCAACATTTGTCATGCGATTCTTCCGCAGTAGAAGTTTGCTTACATCCTCTGAATATGTATTTTTATTTCGCAACTTATCACAGCATGTCTGACAAGATAATTTACGCTCTATACTTCTTACAACAAATCCTGCAACGTATTTGATAATATCTCTCGCGTATTCAGAAGGATTATAATTGACTGGCGTGAAATAATCATGATCGAGAAGTACAATTTGGAATAAATCATTGTCGGCATCGATGTTATCATTTTTTGTACATTTATCACCTGTCTCGGAATAATTTTCAGATAACGATAGTAATGTTGTGTCATCTTTAGGCACACAATTAGCACTAAGAGGTACCGATACTTTCGCTACCTGTAAAATCTTCCTATACGAAGCTTTAAATATCCTTACGCTAGGATTATTATTCCAGCCTCCCATTCGTCTTATTAGTGCAAAAAATGTTTCAACGTGATCCTGTGACAATTTATAAGTCAATAAAAAATTTATTTTGTCTTCGGATAATAGCTGCTCAGCTAAAGTAATAACGTTTTGCAAACAAATTATAAAGCCTATAAAACCTGTCCTCACATTTGTTTGTAAAATAGGTACATCATTTATTTTTAAATTAGCAATATATTTAATATAATTTTCTACTTTACTCTTTAAAATACTTATATTTGTTTTGGTAATTGCACATTTTGATTCACTTTTATTATATAAATTCCGGGAATTCAATAAATCAAAAATATCATTAAAAGTTTTACAAAATTTTGCTGTAGCAGAAGCCCCTTTGAAATTAAATTCTGAATCTGTTCTTATCAGTTTCCTATCAACTTCTGCATGAAGTAGTGCATCACCAACGCTATTGCTTAAAACCTGAGCAGCTAGATTCACTTTCATTTTTTCGTTATGAAAGTGAATGTGACGACGACGAATTTTTACTGCAGGATGCAACCCTTCAAATTCTATAAGTCTGATCAATTTTACAATAAAATTCCAATTTATAAAATTATTTTCTCCATCGCAAATAATACCAGATTTTGCAAAATTATTTCGAACAAGTTTTAACATATGACACGGGTCATAAAAAATATATACTGGTTTTTGTGTACAGGGATGCTCAAAATACGACTTTATATTTTTTCTATCATGTTGTCTTAGGCAAGCTCCTAATTTTTCACACATCGTAATATTCGCAGGTGCACCGTCAAACGTAACGCTTCGAACATCTATCTCGTTTTCATGAAGATAACGTAAAATTTCGCTTAATATTGTCACTTTTTCTTGAGCCATTAAAGATGCGATAAGGTAATATGCAATAGGAATTTTAAAATTTCCATTTATATTGACAATCATGAAAACAAGAGCTTGACTAGCTTCAGTTTGGCTAGTGACTCCGTTGCCTAAATCGACAAAGCCTACAGCTTCTCCATTTACAAATTCTATTTTTTTTCTGATGCTCATTTCGTCAAATACTAAATTAAAAATTAATTCTTTATTTATCTTTTTGGCTTGATAGATTTGATTACGAACTTCTTGTATCGCCTGCTCACAAATACCTGGTTCATTATTTAAATTTCTCATCCATCTCCGGAGAGTAGTTTCGTGAGGTAGGCATTTTAAAAATGATGACCTAACGTACTTATACGCAGCTGGAGAATGGAAGTGCAGGGTAACCGCAAATGTTTTTAATTCTTGTGTATAACTGGCATTTCGCTTCTTCATGATCATTTTTCTAATAATTTCTTCTACATGCGGAGGCACTGCATCCTAAACATGCATTATATAGATAAAAATAAATTTTTGTTATAGAAATAAACATTAGATTAAAAAATCAAACAATAAAAGTAATAGCAATCTTAATTCAAGCAACATTCAAGCAATCTTATTTCACGCAAAAAACAAAACTCTGTTAGAGTAATAAACACCTTAATTCCCAAATTAAAATAAGCTTTAGAAAATGTCACAAATTTTTATTTAAATGTACACAAATTAAAAAATAATTTTCAAATAATATTTTTTCTTAAAATATAAGCAATTGAAAAACATTTTAATTTTTAAAATGAAATCTGTTTAAATAAACAATTGTTTGTTCATATATAAAGAGATATATGTTTTCATAATAGGAAACATACACTTGTTTATATTTGAACAATTATTTATCCTTATAATTGATTGTTCTTTTAAATATAAAACAGGAATAGAGCATCGTGCATCATGATTAGTAGAAAATAATAGAGAAAGCAAAAACTATTAAAACATCAAAGTTTTTCCAACCTTGAAAGTCGTTGACATTTCTTTGAGATAATTCACTGTTGAGTGAAGTTTGCTGACTCCATAGTTGGATGTATTTCATCCTTTATAAAAACAAGTTTATTTTTAATCCTTAACTACCTTCGTAGGGTAAATTTCTACCCCACATAGATATGAAAAATGTGTTTTTAAGACTTAAAAAGTTAAAACTGCGGTAAAAAAGTGCAATTGTTTTCTTAAATAATTTTTTCTAAATATCGAAGGTAGTTAAGGGTTAATGTCATTTTTATCTTTATAATGAATACAATATTTTAGCATTATTACTTACTTTTATAGCTTCTATACTATTATTTGCTAATAAGCGCTTATTTCCCAAAGAATTCAATAAGCTTCTTAAATTGCAAACTCTTTTCTTCAAACGTTTGCATGTTTGCATAATACATTTCTTTTTCTGCCTATTATATATTGTTGACCTGACAAATGTATTCCACGCCTTATCAGATGTAAAGTTGCTTCTTGTAAAAGTTGCAACTGCATTACTTGGAAGATCCAAATAAATTGTTTTATGTGGCACATTTTCATTACAGCTATCCCCCCCCATTTGCCTATAATTAAAAACTTTCTTGAATAAAATTAAATTGACATATGTAATCACTACTTACAAATACGTACACATTAATAATTTTCCTCTTTCTAATAGTAGTATTCATGTTTTCGTCTTCATAATCATTTATCTGCTCATTTGTTTCCCTGTGTGTTAAATTGTTTCTAAGAAAAGTATAAGATTAATATTAAATATATAAATAATCACATTAATTCTAAATAATGATAAATTGATATTTACCTATTCTCCTTACTTATAGGTAATGCAGTTGACAATAAACGTTTCCTTTCTTTGGTGTCATAATTAAAATCATTTTTATGAAAATGATCACTACAAATTCGAGCAGATGAATAATTGACAACTTTGTCAATTGCTTCAAACCATTTTTGTTTTTGGTCTGCATTTTTAGGAAAGCTAAATAATATATTTTTAGTTAGTATTTTGAATAAAATATTTTTAAAATATTTTAATTTAAAAATGTGTTCTTATATATATACATAAAAAACATTTACCAGTGAAATGTACGATTTTCATTTGGATTTGCTTCTTTCCCGCAGACACAACACGCATTAACCATTTTATATATCGGAATATTTAATGTTTACTGCTTATCGAAATCGAAACTATAAAAACACATCACACAATTTTTGGTTATGTACATACTTTATAGCGCAATAGGGGAAACGAGACGAACCGGCGCCGGCGGATGAGGAGAAGTGCTCCCCACTCTCCGGCATTGAAAAGAGAGAGAAACTCATCATAATATCTTTTCTCTCTCTCATCGTAAGCATCACCGCTTATCAAAGGATGATGCTCAGTCTATACTTACCATGTCTATGGGTAGGACTTACGCAAAGGTGACTAGGGAGGGCTCGGTAAGAAGCAACAACGCGGGATACCTAGAGGCAAGAAGGGCCCTGGCCAGAGCTCCCGTGGTGATAATCGATATAGAGGAAGGCGGTCCAATGTATTCTGAGTTGATGAGGAGAGCGAGAGAGAATATCTCGTTGGAGGACATGGACATCAGAGACACTAAAATAACGAAGACATTGAAGGGATCATTGGCAGTGCAGGTGTACGCTGCAGAGGCAAGACAAAAGGCGAAGGGGTTGGCGGAGAAGATAAGAGAGCTCTACAGGGGCAACGAAAAAGTAAAAGTATACAGCCCAAGCCCCACTGGGGAATTGATTATCTGGGACTTGGATGAGACAATTGAGGAAGAAGAGGTAAGGCAAACTGTGATCAAGCTAACTGGAATGGAAACTGAAGACATCAAGATCGGAAGCAAGAGAGTAATGAGAAACGGCATGTTTTCCCTCTGGGTCAGATGCCCTTTGGAAGAGGCCGTTAAGCTATCAGAGAACGGAAAGATACGGATAGGGTGGAGTTCATTAAGGATTCAGCTCCTTAAAAAACGACCAATCAAATATTTCAGATGTATGGCGAGAGGTCACACGAGAGAAAGTTGCCCAAGCAAAATAGATAGATCCGGGTGCTGCTATAACTGTGGAAGGCAAGGACACAGGGCAGAAACGTGCAGATCACGGGCAGTGTGCCCGGTGTGCGTCGAGAGAGGCGTGGAGGCAGGACACAGGGCGGGCGACGCAGTGTGCCCGCCAGTATATGGTAGACCAGTCCTCGGAAGGATTCCCCGCCAAGGGGAGGGACAGAAGGGGGAGTAGGTGCAGGCATGCGGCAGGACAAAAAGATGCAAACGATAGAGGAGGTTGTGACAAGGGAAGAGGGGGAAGGTACTAGGAAGGAACGAGAGATGCAGGGTGGAGATGTAGAGGGGAGTCGATGTGAGGAGTACATGGACGTGACGGCCTATCGGAGCCTAATAAAGGCCGACTCCATCAGCGATCACCAAAAGGAAGATTAAAAGGATCCTTCAGATCAACCTGAATGGATCGAGAGTGGCGCTGGAGATGGCCGTTAAATACAAACACGATAAAGATATAGAGCTTCTGGTGGCCTCGGAGGTACTGAGAGTAAGATTGGACGATAGATGGGTGGTCTCGGGAGACCATCACAACAATCACTAACCTTATACGACGAGATTTAGAGCGTGGCAGACTGACCCCAGCAGTGGCAGTCTTCGTGTTCGTGTACCCCGACGGCGTTCCCGGACCCTGGACCATTTAATCGAGAAGTAAATATTTCATCGCGAATGATGGGGCCGCCATGTGTTCTGACGTAATGCATTGGCGTCGAGATGCCCAAATCTGCTCATTTCCGCCAGCCAATCACGTAATTGGTCACGTGACCAAGTTGGCGATTCTCTCTACTAGAGGTTCTCTAGTCTTAAGTTCAGTCTTGAAGAGTTACGAACCAATCAGAGGGCCGCTTTAGCATCTTAAGACATTACTTAAGACAGTCTTTAAATAAGAACCGACTATGAATACCGGCCATAGTTGGTTCTTATTTCAAGAATATCTTAAGTAATGTCTTAAGATGCTAAAGCGGCCCTCTGATTGGTTCGTAACTCCTCAAGACTGAACTTAAGACGGTCTTGAATATAAGAACTGACTATGAATACCGGCCTATAAAATGAAATTCTACACATTTCCCTGTTCAGAAACCAACGAACTTTCCACGCGAAATAACTTCTACCCCCCCCCCCCTTCTGAGGGGCGCACGACTTCTACGATTGTACTGTCGGAGCAGACCTCTGTCCATCTCTCCCTCTCCCCTGCTGAGGGGCGCACGACTTCTACGATTGTACTGTCTGGGCAGACCTTTGTCGACGGTGTGGGTGCGGAGGGTGGCCGAAGTACTTCGCGGCTATGACACATTTCCTAACCTCCATAATCGTCAACTTTAACGCTAAATATCTCGGTTCGTAGGGCAGAGCGCACTTTTTTCTGCCAGATTCTTTCGTTTCATGCAAAAACGCGTCGAATAAGCCTAATTTGATCGATTTTTAAGCTGCTTGAGTGATTCTGTATAATTACCAAAATTTTCAGTACACTGGCAGTGTATACGAAACACGGTCGTAGAATTAAATGCAATAAATAAAATGGGCGGTTGTAGTGCATTAAATTATAAGAATAGGAGTGCAGCCGGGTTTCAAAACTTTCCGCTTTCCAACAGAAGCAGAAAGAAGAAAAAAGTGGTTAATAAACTGTCGACGTGACAAATGGATACCTTCTTCGAATTCAAGATTATGCGAGGTAAGTACTTATACTTATCACTAAACATTTATTTCAATTGTTTAAAGCAAAAGATGTGAAAAGGAAAATTGAGGTTAGAAACCTTTCTATTCATCACAAAATGTTTCAAAGACATTTTAGAATGTTTCTAAAAGAATGCAACTTTCCTGACATCTTCATAAAAACTTTTCTAAAACATTCAGAAAAGTTTTTATGAAGATGTCAGAAAAGTTGCATTCTTTTAGAAACATTCTAAAATGTGTATATATATAAAATTTGAGGGTGTATATATATATATACATTCTCAAATTTTGATAAAAATATACTCAGGCTGCATTCGGGCAGCGCGCTATTAGCGCCATTTGTGTGGTACGCCTTGTCTCACGTCTAATGGACGACGAAGATAAAATGAAACAAATAGCGCTAATAGCGTCTCCCCGAATCTAGCCTCAATCGATGCGTTTTCGCGTAAAACTAAAGATTTGACAACAACAAAAAACGTCGCTTTGCCTTATGAAACAAAATATTAATCGTTAAAGTCAATGGCTATTCTAGTTAGGGCTGCCAGTGCTGCCAGCACTACTACGACAGCTACGTTTTTCTCTGCCTTACCTTACGTTACGACTACGCATGTTACGTCTCGTTCTCTGCCATAGCTATTAGGAAATCTGTCACAGCAATGCAATGGCACAGTATATACAGTAGCGCAACTCTCTGTCGGCACCTTTGATGTTACCGTAGCTAAAAATGAACTGCACATGCGCGACCGAGGCGCGTAACCAATCAGGGCACTGTATTCTATCTCACTTCTGCTCTCTGTTTATAACCTTTTCTCTCTTTCTAATTTATGTTCTAACAATGTCCTAACCTAATTTGCACATTTGAAGATTTAATACGCGTACTAACAAGTAACTTTTATAAAATTATCTTAATTTATTCCATTATTCACAGCGAATACAGAAAATCTATAGTTCTCGTTTACACTATATAGATTTTTAATACTCACAGTGAAAAACGAGACGCATTTGAAAGAGAAAATGAAATAAAAATTAAACATATATGATGCACATTTACTTCTTAACACTATATTTTGCAATTAAATATACCCACAAAATATCAGGAGATGCGGTAGCGTCTCCGGCCATGTTCAAAAAAACTGTGAACGCTACAAGTCTCTTATCCCGAGCCACCAAAGTCCATTTTTGGGAGGTGCATAACTATTAAAATATAAAAAATTTTGAATCGAACGTCATATGTCCTGAAAGGCGGCATCGCCACGAGTAATTTGAGCCAAAAAAATTTTAAATCGGTCAAGCCGTTCTGGAGATATAAGCGGTCAAAAAGTGGTGATTT